TCGAAGAGGGTGTACCGTCGATAAATCTCGATACTGTTTTATCGAGCAGGCCTACTATGATGCAATGCTGTGAATACTTTATGCTTCAGTTATTCATTTTCCATGTTGTAGTTTTATTGCATTATACAGATAAGTGTTTGGGTGAGTAATTTAAGTGCTTCAGTTTACTGATGTTTATTGTTCAGTGCATGAATATTATTAACTGATTGCATTATTTGAAAAAAAATCATATAATTTCTATATTTTTCTTCATAGAAAAATACTGTACATCTTGCCTTATATTAGTTAAAATTGATCTAAATTAAATATATATATATATATATATATATATATTATCATCCTTACGCATATTATACACTTTGTCTTTGTTTTCAAAATCAAAAGAGACTTTGTTAATGAATATTTCCATCACTAATGTTGTTGATGAGATTAATACTGATATTTTAAAGCAGAGGAGCAAAGACAGAAGTCAGAAGTTACTAAACATGAGAACAAAATCAACAGCTACAGTATAAATAAAGCAAGCAAATGATCAAACAACCATATTAATTATTCATACCCCAGTTTGTGCTGAGAAGAGGGTGAAGGAAAAATAAGGTAAAACTGAATTGCTTTGAATGCAGGTTGCAGTGCAGTTATAATATGTGTTGTACTTTATGTTCAGCAGTTGAACTGTATGCTGTGTATGTGTGTGTGTGTGTGTGTGTGTGTGTGTGTGTGTGTGTGTGTCAGGATCTCATCGCATCATTGAAACAGATTATGATGATGGTATAACAGTAGTGTCCTCAGGTGGGTGGGGGCAATCATTACACTGAAGAGTAGAAACCCATCACAGTGTGAGAAAGAAAGCTAATATCACATATTATTACTGTAGAGTTTACAGTTGTTGTTGTTTTTTTACTGTTCCTCTGAGCCTTTTAGTTGTATACAAGCACCTCAAATACAAATGTATTTCTTCTTAATTGGCACAAAGATGAAAGCATAAGATCAAACAGTGTGTGTATGCATTAAATAGAATACTATGTAATAAAAGAAGGCTGTGTTAGTTTGAGAAAAACAGAATAGAGTCTTTCTCCCCCTGTGCTGGGCTGTAGAGTGTTCAACTGAACCACAGAAACACCTCACATGAATTCTGTGCATGGACACTGTGGAGGAATGACTCCACAATCACGCTCTATAAAACACACTTTTATCACCTTCATAAGACCTGTTTAATTTTGTTGTCAAGCTGGAGTAGCTAGAGGTTATAAAGTGATTATAACAGTGTATTACAGCATGTAACAGGATTAATATGGGTCTTATGACAATGGATGTTACCTCTGTTGCATGCCTGTATAAAAAAGCTTGCTGTAGAATTTAGAGCGTAAAAGATAAATACGCTGTGGCTGATATTCTGAATCTCAAGTTTTTTTTATACTTTGTTCCATGACTATTTTGAACATAAGAGTACTGCAAGTTGTCAGACCTGCAGTAAACACGGTATACTCTTAAACTATATTTATCTTGGATATCCAAGATAAAATCTAAGGATTGTTGTCTGGACAATCTGTTTGATTGAAATTTTGTTGTAGAGTTGCACCAATATTATTATTTTTTAAATATATAGTTAATGTCAATACTGAGAACTTGATAATGTGACATATTTTGATATTTATATTACTTCCACATAAAAGAACTCAGGATTCATTTGAACATGAGGGGGGGGTTGTGGGGGATATAATGGAGTGCTTTCCATTTATATTCTGTTTACTAATTTAGGAAAACTTGCACTTGTTCAGAGTTAGTGCTTTGATGAGCAATCATAAAAAGTTCATCAGATGCATGAGTCATGCATTCTCAGAAACCCTGAAGCGCTTAATGCTTAATTTAGGCACATTTTAAATTCCTTTCAACATTGATTGGGGGACGATTCACTTCCTTCCCAAATCTACTTTTTAATGTAACTGCATGCAAGTCAGATTTCTTTTACAAAAAGCCTCAATTCCTTACTATTGCAAATCAGTGTGCTTCTCCAGTTCTAAATTGTGCTAAATTACATTCACTTCATAGTTCATAGATATTTTCGTGAGTGAATTGTAGTGGAAACTGTATGTGTTTCAGTGAAAATGATACATATGCTGTTAAATGCTTCGTTTCGCATTATGATTTAATTAATTAGGCTAGCCTAATTAAAGCTCTGTGGTTGTAACCAGCAACTCCTTGATCAGATGTAGCATCATCTGTAGTTGTTTACAGTTGTACTTTAGAACATTAATTTATAACGTTGATACAGATTGCTTTTGTGGTGTTGTTTGCTTGACATTAGTACAGTTGTGCATCAAGCATCAAGCATTGTTTTTGCTGTTTAACTAGTTTCTAATCACTATGTCAAGAAATACCACAAAAGAACGAAAAACTGGATAGAAAGAAGATGGAAAGAAGCCATTTTTATGGTGCCGCATGGTGATGGAAATAATTATTGAAAGGGGAAAACTCCCATTGATAGCATTGGAAAAAAAAATCCCATATCATATTTTTACCATAACACAGTTGAAAGGCTTTATACATTTCTACCGTCACACAAGACTTGCCATCTTTTTAGAGACTTTCTTGTCTTTCACTAAACTCATGCATCATGTACAGTTAATGCTTAGGTTTGTTCTGCCAAGCGAATGAAATAAAAGTCAAATGTAAAACGTGACACCAATTGATCATGCAAATAAATACATGAAAGGGGACAAAATCAGACAAATGGTAACAGTACAATCATACAGAGCAGATTTTATTTTTCTGTCTTTCTTTTTTGCTTGTTTTCTTTCTAGCATGTGTAGAGCAGTAGCAGTTGTGCTGGTACTTCAGCACAATCCCTTGGCATGAATTGTTGTAGTAGTTTTAGAAATGCGAATGTTGGTGTGTTATTGTCACTCTCCAATGTCCCTTTATTTTTTTGGCTGGAACAAGTCCATGACACAGAATGTACTTGTATTAAAGCAGCAGAGAGGAACTCCAGAGACAGGGAGAGGTCAAGCACACTGACCGTACCTAAGAGACAGGCGGTCATACAGCATCGCTCGCGGTCAGTATCCCCACACAGAGAAGACCAATGCAGAGCCCGCTCTCGACCTGCACACGTCCCTATGCAGAGGTGAGCCACATCAACTGGATACCACAACCTAACTGACCAATCATAGCAACAATTTAGCAATAAAGATTTTTAGCCTTTGTTATTTGTCAATTATTATTATATATTATAATTAAATATATTAACATATATAGTAATAATAATAATAATTATTATTATTATTATTATTAATTTGTCATTTAAAGTCACTTTTGTATTTGTTTTCATTTAAGTTGCATTTATTATTATTTATTTTTATATTATTGTTTTATATTATAATTATATTCAAATCATATAATAATAATAATAATTATTATTATTATTTTACCATTGAAAATCACTATTTGTTTCTTTCTGACTTTTTTCTTATAAGCAGTTGCTGATTAATAATTCCTGTTTTTTATCAGCTAATTTACACACACATTAATAAATATTCACTATAAAAAAACAACTATTGCTAAAAATTGGCTTAAAGGGATAGTTTACCCAAAAATTAAAATTCTGTCTTTAATTACTCAACCTTATTTAGTTCCAAACCCAACCCTTTGTTTATTTTTGGAACACAAATGAAGAAATTTTTGATGAAATCCGAGAGCTTTCTGACCCTGCATACAACAACGCAACTGCCACGTTCAAGGCCCAGAAAGGTAGTAAAGACATTGTTAAAACAGTGCATGTGACATCAGTGGTTCAACCGTAATTTTATAAAGCTACACGAATACTTTTTGTTTGCGCAAAGAAAACAAAAATTATTCAACAATTTCTTCTCTTCCGTGTCGGTCTTCGATAATAAGGAAAACATTTTAACAGTGTTCATGCAAAACTCTTTCATCAGACACAGCATAGATATAGAGCTCATTCATGCGCGCATTTCACTGTAATGCTGATATAGGTGATATAGTTGTGTGAAGTGTCTTGCCCTAAAGATTATGATTTATGTGTGATGTACGACTCATCACTCGTCATGCTCTCCTCAGGAGTCTGGATGAGATCCACAAAAACCGCCATCATTCCTACTCTCCCTCTCACTACCACGACTCCCACCAGGAACATCGCTCCGGAGATTCTGACTATGAATATTCAGAGGACAGGTATCGCTATTCTAGTGCTTACTGCTCCAAATGCATATATAAAAATGTGTGTGTGTTTGTGGAAAAACACTGTAGCACTTTACATAATCGTATGTTTTAGCTATATCGAACTGTATGTTTTTATTCACACCTAGATTGATAAATAGCATCAGGTACATTTGATGTTTTAGAACAGAGTTTGACGTGTTTTCATATTGTGTCAACAAAATGTTTTATGCTGTTGCTCTACTAAATACTAATACTACTAATATGACTAACAGTCATAGTTTTTAGTTCATTCCCGTTAATAATAGTACAGATATTGCTAAATACATGTCTATCATTTTCTACACATATTCCGTTTTCTTTCTTTTCTTTTTCCTTACCATCCTCTTACTTTTGTTTTATGTTTGGTTGTCAAACTGTCAATGTGTCACCATCACCATGGCAACCTTAGCGAGGTCCTGGAGATGCACAGATCAATCCGAGGTGGGAGTGCTGAGTGCCTGCATACAAACAGGTAAACATCCAGAGCTGCCACTTTGAGTTACCTGTATCCCAGAATGCCTTGCCTTTCTATGTTTCTTGACAATTTTAGAGCATACAAATCTTATGGTGATGACATAAATATAAGAGAATTTAGAGCAAGTATTTTTTGCCTGTTTACACCTGGTCATTTCATGCGTTTTCGCTGATCCGATATCTATCTGATTTGTTAAAACATTTCCATTTACACTTGGCCACACAAATGTGTCGTCACAAAACGGATATAAATCCGATCTTCAATTCCCGCGCTATATTTAAATTTAACGGCGTTCACGTCAACGAAATCAAAAGATAAGCACTGTATTTTATTAATTATCAGCTCATTTTGAGATCAAAGACCACAATAGGAGAGCGTGCGGCATCAGCACTGGAAAGATAAGTTTGTCTTACTACTTTTAATGAAGATGATTGTGTGTTGATCGTCTGCGTATTACTTTGTTTTATTCGCGGCAGTTTGCGCGTCGCTTGCTGAAGAGATACTCAGCTACTCGTCCACTGCGATGCGTGTTGCATTAGCGCAGTCATATCTGACTATAATGTAATATAGCCTATAACACGCTCTCACACGTTAATTATTTTAACATTTTGGGCGGAGTAAAATTTACATACGTTGTTTCAACAACCAGATGCATTTACACTGGTGTAGTTTCATCTGGAATGCGGCCCAGACCACCTCCTGAAGTGGTTTGAGCGATCGGATTTATATCCGTCTCGAATGCGTTTCGGAGGGCATTTACACCTGGCCTTTTCACGATCAGATAGCTATCCGATTAGACAAAGTGCATGAAGTGACCAGGTGTAAACAGCCCCTTTGAGTTCATTTTGCTTTTAAGAATTTACATTAAATCTTTATTTACAGTCATTTATCATCTGTTGTCTGCCATGTTAAACGATTGAAAAGATTTTTGGTGTTTGCTTGAGTAATGGTTTTCATTATGTTTTGCCCTTTTTGATGCCTGCTTGTTTGTGCTATTGTAATTAGGAAATTAGCTAGGCACTGTAACACACTTCCCCCAAAGATGCCCTTGTTAGTGAATGGTATACATAAAGATATTTACAGGTAAGCTATTGAGCAGATTCCCATACTGTTAGTGAAACCTGTCAGACCCTTGCAGTAAATGTGTGTGCTGTTTCAGTCATTACAGACATAGTTTCCCCTCCCTTTCATTGTGTTGTATCTCTGTACTGTCGTTTACCATGAGTTGTATTTTGTAATAATATAATGTGCATTTATTAATTGTCCACCAATCATTCAAAGCAAGTCTGCGAAATTGCTGTAGCTTTCTGTTCATAAACACATACTCAGTTATTACTTTTTAACTGCAATTCAAAATCAGAACAAGCTATCGATATATATATATATATATATATATATAGATTGGTGGACAAAAAATATATATATTTAGGTAAAACAACACTGTTTAGTGAAGATGAGAATCCAGTAAGCAGAATATGCAATATATCACAATTTTGAATAACTATACACTAAAGATAAAGAATCAAACTGTTAAGTTATCATGACCCAAATATGAATACAATATTATATCACCAGGTCCCTGCTGATTCCCATCCTAGTGTACATTTTTTAGATTTTAAGATACTTAATTACATTATTTGAATAAAGAGTATGCTTTAATCTGGTTTAAGATAAACTTGGCATATATACTGAAAATTCAGTATCCACAAATGAGGAAAATTAAATGAATTACTCTTATTAACATTCAATAACACGTATCGAATATTGAATATCTCTTGGTCATAAAAACATATATTGTTTTTCTAGACACAACTTCTAGACAAAAAATTTGTAGGAATATGCATTTATCTACCTTTTGAAATAAAATGCACTTATTTTACACATTTCAAGTATTAACACATTAAACATTTTTTTCCCCTTATGCTTTCTGTCATCTCAGCATCACAAATATTATATATGAAACTAAACCCGGCAACAAGTCCTAATTTTAAAATCATTAATTTAACCGATTCATTCAAACCAGATGATTCATTCATTAGGAAGTAAGTGACCACTGTCTCTATGAGAGGGTCATTGAATCATTGACTCGTCCCGATTTGTTCAAAAATGAATCATTCAAGAACAAAATACTCTTTTGTTGCTTTGTTTGGAACTAAAACAATCAACAGTCAAAATGAACAAAGTTGTCTCTTAAAATTTTCACACAATACAATGAACTCATTGTTTATTGAATGGTTAAGTAAATATGACATTTGCAGTCATATTGATATTCATGGAAAATAGCACTTTTGCTTGTAATATTGCTTAAATATATTATGTTAATATAAAGACAGAAAACAGTAACTCACACATTCTGAAAACCATTCTGTATAAAGCAGAATTGTCCCATAAGTAAGGGGATTGGAGTTGCATGTGTGATTCTTCAGTATGACATTCAGATTAATTCAATTAATCAAATTAGCATTTAATTCAGTCAAGCAGAGTCTCGAGACATACATAGCTGCAGACACGCTTGTACACAACAGCATGACACCTTATGTTGTCTCATATTTTCCTATAAAGAACCCAAGAGTGTCCCTTATTGTCTTCTTCTGAAGTTGGCAACCCCAATCACAAAGATGGCTTCTAGATCTATTTATTCAACTGAGAGCATTAGTAGTTTCCCTTCTTGTGATGTTCACATTTAAAAAGCCCCTTTCTACTTTTACTTCATTTTTAGTTCATTTTTGCTTTCTTTTTATGTCTGTTATGCATGCTTTTGTTTATTTCTTTGTTTCTTCCCATGCTAAGCTCTACCCTCCCTGCATGCTTAAAGAACAAACCGTCCCGGCAAACAGAGAGGGATGGTGTTATCAGGTTCACAGACGAGGTCAGCTCTGGGTAAGGGGCCCAAATCCAAACCAGATAACAATCAATAGCAAGTGAGAAGGAGCAGTGAGCAATTAAAATAGTTTGTGCTGTGCTGGAAAAGGCGCAAGTATATATGCCTGAGAAATCAAAGCAGCAAGCAACTATTACAATAGTAATATGCCATATCATGCCATGTATTACTGATGGCAACCCCTCCCCCAATTAATATGTTAATAGTCAGAGAATCAAAAAATTAATATAAAGTATAATGCAAAAGGTAGTTACTTTAAAGAGATATTTCAACATGATTTAACCCATATAAGTTTTGTTGGTACAAAATTATTATATTTAGGTAGATTCAGCTTTAACCAGTTAATTTTGATGTTGCCATTTTTAGGTTACTGTCAGTTTAATATTTATGTACGTAGAGGAAGAGAACAGATGAGAACATTTGAAAATGGTCCCATTGGTCATAAAGTCTTTTTAATGAAACAGTAAACTGTTTTCACTCATTTTATGATTTTAAGGGTTTCAAGTGTAAGTACCTTCAAAACACACTACAAAATGCTACAAAAAGGACACACTGTCCCCACTGTACACTGATGGTTAATAATGTATATATTAATCTGTTAATACTGTTCTTTCTTTATTTCTTTCTTTCTTTCCAGTGATCTTCAGCCTTCATTAGACAGAATAAGAAGTGCCAGTACAACTTGTTTGAGACCAGAGTCAAACTTCTACTTACCTGAAAGAGAAAGGTATGTGGAAACAAGGGGAAATCAGTACCTACAAGTACACTATTCTTACACTGCAGTGTCTGTGTAACATCTCAAAAATATTTCAAAAGTTCAAACAGTAAAGATGTTTACATAATTAAATAAATAATAAATAAGTTGATTTATTTATTTGTTAATTAATAAAAATTTTGAGCAGCAAATCAGCATATTATAATGATTTCTGAAAGATCATGTGACAAGGAAGACTGGAGTAATGATGGTGAATATTCAGATTTGCATCACAGGAATAAATTACATTTTAAATTATATTTCAATGACTACTCTATGTACTGTAGTCACAGAAGTACAAGTAAGCTGATTTGAGATTCGTAGGTGAAATAAGTCATTTTTTGTATTGTTGACTTTATACGATTAAGATATCACAATAAGCAGCAGTGCACAAACTACAGGCAGCTACAGGTACAGCCAAGTTCTGAGGGGCTCCCAGCATGCACCTGTCAGCTCGTGGGGAGTTAGGGCAGGAACCCCCTAAGCTGGTCTGGCCAAAGGGCCTGAGGGGAGGCTCTCTCCTCCTCCTGCCACCCCTGAGGATAGAGGTGGGCTGGAGTCTAAACACAGCCATAGCAGAAAAGGGCAAGGGCAAAAAGATAATATGTAATGAAATAACAAAAACTCAGACATCTGAAATGGGTAAACCAATAACAAACAAAGGTAAAAATAGTGAATAAGAATAAATTGACATAGAAAACAAATACAGATAAGTGATAAAGAGATGTTTAAAGGGTTATGATGAGATCTCACCTGTCGCCATCAATGGTTTTCTTGTTAGCTATCTGACAGCTTGGCCTATCCAAATTGCCAGAATGCCTGTGAGATGGAAAATGACTAATCCAGAAAACAAACAGAGTGGGAAAAACAAAAACAAAAGGAGGAATGTAGGAAGCTAAATGGTCAGATAGCTAACAAGAAAACCATTGATGGCGACAGGTGAGATCTCATAATAAACCTTTGAACATCTCTTTATCACTTTTTTATCACTTTGTCTGTTTATGTTTTCTACATCAATTTATGCTTATTTACTATTTTTAGCTTTGTTTGTTATTGGTTTACCCATTTCAGGTTTTTTGCTTGTCTGACTTTTATATTTCATTACATAATTTCCTTTTTTCTTTTCGCCCTTGCCCTTTTTTGCCGTGGCTGTGTTTAGACTTCAGCCCACCTCTATCCTCAGGGGTGGCAGGAGGAGGAGAGAGCCTCCCCTCAGGCCCTTTGGCCAGACCAGCTTAGGGGGTTCCTGCCCTAACTCCCCACGAGCTGACAGGTGCATGCTGGGAGCCCCTCAGAACTTGGCTGTACCTGTAGCTGCCTGTAGTTTGTGCACTGCTGCTTATTGTGATATCTTAATCGTATAAAGTCAACAATACAAAAAATGACTTATTTCACCTACGAATCTCAAATCAGCTTACTTGTACTTCTGTGACTACAGTACATAGAGTAGTAGACAGTAGCTGCTTCCATCCAAAGATTCAAATTAAACTTATGCGCAAAACTGGAATATCGCATAAAACGTATGCTAATTAAGCACTGTTTCCATCCAACGAGTCAAAGAGAACAAAATCGTCACTTCCTGGTAAACTGTGGCACTAAATATCACTAAGAATATAGGAGAAGCCACTGAATATAATAATTTTCATATATGATATAAATTACTTGCACCTCAGTGCGAGCAGACGAAACACAATAAATGCTGTCAATGCTTTCGTAGGTGAATGCTGCTTTTTGTGAACGCAGTCGTGTAAGACAGTTATACAGAAATACTTTGACGACAGACTTTGCTCAGGCATTTCAGAATGACCAACATATAGATGCTGTGAACGAGATAGGTCCACTGCTAGTCACGTTATCCCGTCTCATAGCGCAGTCACATGACTTTTTCAATGCGCATGGAGGAATTTATTTGGTAAATGTGTTTCCATCGTAGTTTATGCGCATTTTTAGAATTTATGCGCCTCTTGGTGTTTCCATCCAGCGTTTTTTATGCGATATTCCAAAATGCGCATAAAAATAGGTGGATGGAAATGCAGCTAGTGTTGGGAAGGTTACTTTAGAAAAGTAAGAGTTACAGATTACAAGTTACCCTATTTAAAATGTAATAAGTAGTGCAATTATTTCAGTTACTTTATTAAAGTAATGTACTGTAACTGATTACATTTGATTAATTTTTGATTACATTTCTAAATTTCTAATGAAAGTTTAATCATTTTGAAAGATTTAGAACAGACAGGGTTAACTTTACAGTAGGACTCAACACGGATTACTGTCAGACTTTCAAAATCCTTTATCACTTGAATTAAGATGATTTAATTTTATAGCACAGCCGCACAAAATCAGACTTTAGCACTGCTTTTTACTTATTTAAAATCATAAGATATAGTTTAATAATTATGATACTGTTTTTGAAATCAAATCCTTGTATAGGTACAACAGGAAACACTGGCATCAATGCCTTGGAAAAAAATGTTAATCTTAAAAAGTAAAGCATATACATAAATCCAAATAGGAAATAAAACAGTTATCAAAGAAGCATGTGTCCTATTCTGTGTCCTAAACTGCTGAAACATTGGTGTCTCTTATTTTAGAGCAGTCACTGCAATTTGGGAAATAAATCAATCAAATCTGTATGCGTGTGAAAATATTCAGATGTAACCCTCCTTTGTAATTGTTAGCATTTTCATAAGTAACTGTAATTTAATCACACATTTTTTCTCAGTAGCTGTAACAGATTACAGTTTCATTCATTTTGTAATTAAATTACGGAATTCCGTTACATGTAGTAACTAGTTACTCCCCCAACACTGGTAGTAGAATGAAATATCTTTTAATCACATTTTAAAATTGTTCATCTGATGGAAAGTAGTAATCAGACCATTTTTCTACTTTAAATTTTGACAAAATCTCTCTCAGAGAACTTCAGCATGGTGGACATTATTCCCCGGCAGGGACCACGTCATTAGGGCGCAGGGGCAGACAGCTGCCACAACTTCCTGCAAAGAGCAGCAGTATAGAGCAAGGTAAGCAATTCATTCTCTCTCTCTCTCTCTTTCTAAATACTCACAAACTCAGACAGCAGTAACCTAAAATGCTGTTACCATTCAAATTCACACCCCAAACCCATGAATCTGTCCCAGTGCCAGTTACCTTTATAAATGCCAGGTAATTTCATGGCTCCTTGGTCCGTAGACTTTTTTTTTTTTTCATGTGGTCAACAAGTTGTTGATCTCTCTACCTTACTCCTTTCTGTCTCTTCTCATGCCATTTCTCATTCCTTCAACCCCATCTTCATGAAGACCATGTCAACAGTAAACCTGAGGAGAAACCTAACTCAGGTATCTCATTCCATTCTCTGCATTTTGCCCTAGAATTGATCACTTGCTTGTCTGAATAATATCAGTTTTTACTCAGTGGTATACTGTATATTGCATGTTCAAACTTAACAATATTTGGAACAAAAAGTATTAACTCACCCAAGTTGGTTATTTGCTTGTCAACCAGCCTCTTTGTTCCAAAAACTGACTGACCATCTTTAGATGGTTTGTTGCTGGTCAGATGATTTATCAGTGTTAACAAGCTAATGACCAGCTTGGACCTGTTAGAAACCAGCTACCATTGTTCCAAAATGTAGATACCAGCTTACATCGAAACACTACAGGCAGAACTATGGTCAATTTTGTGATTTTGGGCTTTTTTGCTTCCATAACATCTTCTTTCAGACTAGTAGAAATAAAACAGCCAATATATACAATTAAGTGTTTATTTTATTATCTATTGTAATTGTCGATTTCAATTACAATACATATCTTTAAAAACATTAGTACTATCATGATAACTCTCAGAAGATTTTAGCATGGTAATGTGTATGACAATGTTAATGTATTTGTTCTTGGCGGAATAGATCTGCTACGCTGTTGCTGCTGAATTGCTGCTGCTGTTGGTTATTGCTGTTGTTGTAGATTTTTGCTGCTGCTGCACAAGTAACACATATAATAGAGGCAGATCTATACAGGTGGAGCTGGGGAAGGTGGAGGGTTTCAGAGTAACTCTGTAAGCGCTGCAAAATGCTCTAGTGAGTGCTAACCAGCCATTTCAATATAAAGTAGCAAGCTTATTCGCTGCAACATGAACCACTCAGCTTGTGCCAAGTAGTTTAACGCTGTGAATATCATCAGTTTGCGCTAACCACAGTCTGCGCTATCTAGAGTTTCATGACAGAACTTGGCATTTCTTTCTCCATGCATTCACATATTCCTATCTATATTCTGAAGGTTTTTACGGAGGGGTTTGTTCATATAACATTCACTTGATTTATATACTGTAACATTTTATTCTTTTATTTTATTTTATAGACTGTTTTTTCATATATATGGAGTCATAAATATAGAAATACAAAATTCCTTTTGTAAAAACCTTTAATATGTCAACAATGGAATCTTGAACCTGGCTTCATCCAATGTTCAGATTTTCTGTTCTGGAAAATATGCAAATAAGTGCATATTTAAATAGATAATGTCTGTTTACATATTTAAACATTTCATAAAACTTGTAATACAAAACAATTGTACTGTAATCAGTCAACTGGATAAGTATGGTGATAATCTATTAGTTATATTTTTGTATCACCGTAAACTGGATTTTTTTCAAGCAGGGAAGATTTAATATTCGTTTCCACCAAAAAATAACAGTGGCTATGTTTACATGCAACCAAATAATCTGTTTGTAATCGGATTGACGGCTCAATCGGACTGAAAAGTCTTCATGTAAACACCTTAATCGATTCGATTGAGCTCGATCGGAATGAAATTTCGATCGGATTGAAGGGGGTGGTTTATTCCTTTTCTAATACGATTGAGAGTGCATGTAAACACTCGATCGGATTGAACCCCGAAACTGAAAGGACTGCGCATGAGCAATGACGCAGAAATAGTGTAATGACGTATGAAGTGCGGAAAGAACGGCTCTACCTTTTGAATAAAGTGTTGTATAAATGCGTGTCGTGTCATTATAAAACTCTCCTTTCACTCGGCAACTGTGAAGTGGAGCAGGACAACCTCCCACCAGTCCTTGTTTTGGATACTCATCCACAGGCAACCCGTTTTGGGACACACTTACCAGCTATGTGGATTTTTAGAAAGTGTGCAAAGCTTAACGTCTGCACTTACCATAGTTTGGATTTAAGAGTTCTCCAAGCATCTGCTCACAGATACCCGGAAGTACTGGGCCAAACGG